GGAAAGAAGGAAGGCCTGGTGCAGTGCACAGCGGCTCATGCCTGTAATCCCAGCAGTTTGGGAGGCCAAAACAGGTGGATCACCTGAGGTCAGGAGTTCGAAACCAGCCTGGCCAACATGGAGAAAGAAACCCTGCCTCTAAAAATACAAAAAAAATACAAGTGGAAGGCACCTGTAATCCCAGCTTCTCGGGAGGCTGAGGCAGGAGAATCACTTAAACCCAGGAAGCAGAGGTTGCAGTGAGCCGAGATTGCGCCATTGCACTCCAGTCTGGGCAACAGGTGAGACTCCATTTCAAAAGAAAAAAAAAAAAGAAGAAGAAAGGTAGACAGGAGCCAAATCATTCAGGGGTTTAAAGCTGAGGTGCATATGACTCAGTTGACATTTTTAAACATCAAGTAAAACCCTTTCCCAGTCAGGGCTCAGATTTCTTCATCTATATCTCGAGGGGTTGGATTGACAATCTGTTGAACCTCTCTGAGGCCATCATGTATGGGGGGAGATCCCAAAAGCGCTGAGGCAGGAGCAAAAGGCATCAGCCTATTTCCATAAAAATAATGAAGAAGGAAGTAATTAGAAATATAACCGTAGTAGTTATTAGTTATTCATATGTGATCTTAGTTTTTCATAGGTGATCTCAATTCTTTTATTAATGCTTCTCAGGTCAGAAGTGTGAACCTGGGGTGACATTGTGAAATTAATGAGACCAAGGCAAGGTGCTCTAAGCCCCCTGTCACATCCACATAAGGGCTGCTGGAGGTCGCCTTGGCTGTGCGGTAGCACCAGCTCTGTGAAAGCGCCCGCTGTTTAGCCAGCTAGGGAAGGAGATGTCGAAAATGGCTGAGACATCTCCTTCCTGTGGAAGTTGGAGAAAACTCGGCTTCTCCAAGCTCTTGTGGTGAGGTCTGACGGCTGTCAGGTACACCCACAGACATCCGGGGGCTTAACTGTCTCTATGTGATGCTGTGCTTCAGTGGTCACGTTCCATGTTTACTCTTATGTTCTACTTCTGCACCTGGTTCCTTTTGTCTTAGAAAAGATAATAATAGTAATATAAATCTTAATGTTTTAGTTCTTTCCTGATAAGTGTGGAAAAGGTGCTAATGCATTATGCTCCTTACCTCACTTCGGGTGCCAGAAATCCCTGAGCCCCTACCTGAATGACACGTGATGTTCTTGACCCTATCACTGCCACGCCCTATCTACCCTGCCCCCAGTCACCGACCACCAAAGCCATGCCCTACCTACCCTGCGCCCAGATTTGCAACTCAATAAAAGTGAGACATCCTGGCATTCAGGGCCACTGCTGGTCTCCGAGATCTGGGTAGCAGTGGACCCCTGGGCCCAAACTCTCTTTTCTCTATCTCTGTGTCTTGTGTCTTTTATTTCTACAATTTCTTGTTTCCCCACCAGCCAGGAGCGGCTCACAGAACCCTGTAGGGCTGGACCATACATCTGGCGCCCAACGTGGCAGTGGACCCTACAATCATGAGCTGTAGGACAGAATGTAATAAAATATTTGCACGATGACACTGTGAAATGTCACAGTGACACGGCACTAGGGGAAGGATTTCAGAGGGCTGAAAATTTCATTTCACAACATCATTGTGAAATGAAATCTCTCAAGGGCAGTGGGTTTTGTTTGTTTTTACCTTTCAAGTTGGAAGGGGAATGTGTCAAGGTTTGAGAGAGGCACATCTCACATATGAACAGGAAAACTCAATCATCATGCTTACCAAGAACAAAGGGATCAAGGGCAGTGGTTCTAAAGAAGAATCACCCTACTGTAAAAAATGTAGATTCCCTGGCTAAACTTCCAGGGCGTATGCCTCCTTGGTGTGAGGCAGGGCTGGGGAACTGGCTGGGTTTTTTTTTTTTTTTTTTAAGACAGAATCTCACCCTGCTCACTCTGTCACCCAGGATGGAGTGTAGTGATGTCGGCTCACTGCAACCTCTGCCTCCTGGGTTCAAGCAATTCTCCTGCCTCACCTTCCTGAGTAGCTGGGACTATGGGCATGTGCCACCATGCCCAGCTAATTTTTGTATTTTTAGTAGAGATGGGGTTTTGCCATATTGGCCAGGCTGGTCTCAAACTCCTGACCTCAAGTGATCCACCCACCTCAGCTTCCCAGAGTACTGAGATTTCAGGCATGAGCCCCTGAACCCGACCCAGAACCGGCATTTTTAACAAGCATTCAAAGACATCTGATGCTAGCCGTTTGCTTGCCACGCCTTGAGCAATGCTACTCTAGAACAAGTCCTTGGAGGTGCAGGATGACAGGTTTAATTGAGATAAAACCACAAATCAATTCCCCTTTTCCCCCTTGTCAGGGAGAAAGTATCAATTTGGTGTTGATATGTTTTTAGCACCCCTTTAGCATTAGATAATCTTCTGGAACAGGGAGCTGGCTGCAGGCAATAGAATCTACCTGGAATTGAATTACACTGTTCGGTTCGGTTTTCATTGCAATCTCCTTTATTCTTACCTTCTACTGTGGGAAATGAAAGGAATTTTCCATTTACAATAGTGATACAAAGTTTCCTTTAAAATAGATTCACTTAAATTTATAAGTATCCAAGGAGGTATTTTAGGATGCAATAAAGCATTTTCACTTTTTCCTAGACTCACTGAATTTGGGCACATGGATACTTGCAATATTGATTTGTATTATGAGAGTGATATATAAATAAAAAAATTTGACCTATTTGAAAATGTGTGGGTCTTCCCTATGATTCACAGAAGTCTAAAATTCAATCTAGTGATGGATAAGAATTAAGAATGGATGGTTTGGGCAAAGGCCATTAACAGACATTGCTCCAAAGGTGATACATAATGGCCAACAAGCATATTGAAAGGTGCTTAACACTACCAATTATTAGGGAAATGCAGATTAAAACCACAATGAGATACCATTTCAGGCCCATTAAAATGGACACTATCAAATACATAGAAAATAACAAGCATTGGTGGACAAACTGGAACTCTCCTCCAGCACTGCTGATGGGAATATAAAATGTTGCAACCATTGTGGAAAATAGGATGGCAGTTCCTGAAAAAATTTAACATACAGGTGGGGTGCAGTGGCTCACACCTGTAATCCCAGCACTTGGGAGGCCAAGGGGGGTGGATCACCTGAGGTCAGCCTGACCAATATGGTGAAACCCCGTCTCTACTAAAAATTAGCTGGGCATGGTGGCAGGCACCTGTAATCCCAGCTACTTAGGAGGCTGAGGCAGGAGAATCACTTAAAGCTGGGAAGCGGAAGTTGCAGTGAGTTCAGATCACGCCACTGCACTCCAGCCTGGGTGACAGAGTGAGACTGGTGTCAAAACAAAACAAAAAAATTAAACATACAGTTACCATATAATCCAGCAATTCTATTACTAGGTATATACACTAAAGAATTGAAAGTAGGAACTGGAACGTGCAATATTTGGTTTTCTGTCCTTGCGTTAATTTACTAAGGATAATGGCCTTCAGCTCCATCTATGTTCCGACAAAGGACATGATCTCATTCTTTTTTAAGGCTGCACAGCATTCCATAGTGTATAAGTACCACGTGATAAGTCACTCTCACTTCAGTTGGCTTTCATGAAGCACTATGACAGACTACGATGGGACAAAGTGTCAGCATCGTGGGATACGATGTCTGTCAACATAGTTCTCTTCCCTCCTATTGGCTGATCTTTGCTGTTTCCACTCCTTTGTGTGACTTCAGAGGAGGACCTTGGGGCACAGCTTGCTCCTCTTCTCTTCTCCACTTAAAGGATATTCTCTGCCTAGTGATCTCCACCAGCCTGCCGTGTAGATGCATGCTTGTGACTTGAAGATGTACACCCTACACCCCTGAACTCTAGGCATGGATGTAGCTTCTCCACTTGAATGTCTAATGGTCACCTCTAACTTAGCATTTCCAGACCAGAAACCCTAAATCTGTTATTCCCCCAAAGTCAAAATCCGTAACTTCCCCTTGACGTCTCTCCCTCTCATCCCTCCCTCACTGCGCTCTTGCCTTTCCCTCCTCCAACATGCCAAGCTTTTCCTAACTGCGGGGCCACTGCAGGAACAGCTTCCTCTGCACGAAACTCTCTTTCCTGGATAGATCCTTTCACCTCCTCTGAGCCCCTGAGGGCCTCCCTTCCCACCTCTGCTTTTCAGTTCTTCACATCAGTCTGTTTCATTTCCTTCATTGCACTTATTATCATCTGAAATTATGTATTTGTTTACTTATTTTCTCTCACACTTGATTATTTATTTATTTGAGATGGAGTGTCACTCTGTTGCCCAAGCTGGAGTGCAATGGCACAATTTCAACTCACTGCAACCTCCACCTCCTGAGTTCCAGCGATTCTCCTGCCTCAGTCCCCTGAGAGCCTGCCACCACGCCTGGCTAATTTTTTGTATTTTTAGTAGAGACTGGGTTTCACTATGTCGGCCAGGCTGGTCTCAAACTCCCGACCTCAGGTGATCCGCCCACCTTAGCCTCCCAAAGTGCTGGGATTACAGGCGTGAGCAACTGCGCCCGGCCTCATGCTTGACGTTTAATCTCCATGGGAGCAAACATTAGGTCTTGCCCAGATCTTTATCCACAGCAGTGAGCATAGCACCTGGCACAGAGGTAGTTCCCAACATTAATTATTGAATGAAATAAAATAATGAATGTATGCCCAAAAAGAGTTGTGGGAAGTGGGGTAATGTCCCTGCATGGACTTCTAAGGCTAAGAAGGAAAACAAACAACATAAGTGCTGGGCACAAATCAGAGGCTGGCACCCCAACTGGGGCCCAGCTCTGGCTCTCTCTCCTGGCACCATCACTGAAAGGTTCAGTTCCCAAAACCTCAGGGTATTCTTGGTCCTTCCTGTTCCCAGCGCTGCAAATCCCCCATCCCTCGCTGCCCCCACCTTAGTTCCAAGTTCCGGCCTCTCTGCCCCACCCCTGAAGCAGGCGTGCTTTTTAGAGGAGCTCCTGGGCTCTATGAATACTTAGAGTCCGTGGCAGAAACCAGGGTTGGGGCAGGGCGTGTCCCAGGAGTGAGCCCAGCTCTACAGTCCTGTGCAGGGTAGAGAGCTATACTTGGGCCGGCACCATGGCCGAGTTCAGGGTCAGGGTGTCCACAGGGAAGGCCTTCGGGGCTGGCACATGGAATAAAGTGTCTGTCAGCATCATGGAGACCCAGGGAGAGAGCCCCCGGCTGCCCCTGGACCATCTCGGCAAGGAGCTCAACGCTGGCGCTGTGAGTGCATGGGAGTGGGTAGGGGTGGAGGTGAAGCGGGTGAGCAGGAGGGTCTGGCCCGATGCATACTAAACCTCCCCAGGAGGAAGACTTCCAGGTGATGCTCCCAGAGGATGCGGGTCCAGTGCTGCTGCTGCGCGTGCACAAGATGCCCCCAGCGCTGCCCTGCCTGCCCGGGCCCCTGGCCCAGGATGCCTGGTTCTGTCGCTAGTTCCAGTTGACACCACCGCAGGGCAGCCCCTTCCTCTTCCCCTGCTACCAGTGGCTGGAGGGGGCAGGGAGCCTGGTGCTGCGGGAGGGGACAGGTGAGGCGGGGCCAGGCTGGGGCTGCAGGGGGAGCACAGGAAGGGGCAGGGGACTGGGGTTGGGGAAGGCAGGTGAAGTGGAGAGGTGAGCTGCTGGGGCCACGGAGTAGGGGGCAGAGGAGGGGACTGGCAGGATCTTGGGAGGGGGAGGTGGCAGCCTGGTGTAGGAGAAGCTGCTTATGAAAGAAGGGGACCTGGTAGAGCACGGCAATAGTGGAGAGGACATGGCTGGGGGTAGTGATGGGGAGTTTCTCTCCCCTCCCCAACCTACTCCGCTTCTCCCACAGCCAAGGTGTCCTGGGCAGACCACCACCCCCTGCTCCAGCAACAGCACCAGGAGGAGCTGCAGGCCCGGCAGGAGATGTACTAGTGAGGAGGGGGTTGCTGTTGGAGGAGGGGGTGCCCAAGGGATGAGGGGCAGCTGGAGTGTCCTGGTCATGACACAGACTAAAGCCCCTGCCCCCACCTCTCCTATCAAAGCTGCTCCTAGGACAAGCAGCATCTGCAGGAATGTATTAGAAATCCAAATTCCTGGCTGGGCACGGTGGCTCACGCCTGTAATCCCAACACTTTGGGAGGCCGAGGTGGGTGAATCACGAGGTCAGGAGTTCGAGACCAGCTTACCCAACATGGTGAAACCTCATCTGTACTAAAAATACAAAAAAATTAGCTGGGCGTGGTGGCACATGCCTGTAATCCCAGCTATTCAGGAGGCTGAAGCAGAAGAATTGCCTGAACCTGGGAGGTGGAGGCTGCAGTGAGCCAAGATCGTGCCACTACACTCCAGGCTGGGCGACACAGTGAGACTTTGTCTCAAAAAAAAAAAAAAAAAAAAAGAAATGCAAATTCCTGAGCCACCCCCAACTTGCTATGACACTGAGGTGGAAAGCAGTAATTTTTGTTTTGACAAGCCTTCCAGATGACTCTGGTGGCCAGGAGGATCACCTGAGGTCAGGAGTTCAAGAGCATCCTGGCCAACAGGGTGAAACCCCATCTCTACTAAAAATACAAAATTAGCTGGGCGTGGTGGCAGGCACCTGTAATCCCAGCTATTTGGGAGGCTGAGGCATGAGAAGAGCTTAAACTCGGAGGGCAGAGGTTGCAGTGAGCCGAGATCACACCATTGCACTCCAGCCTGTGCGACAAAGCAAAACTTCACCTCAAAAAAAAAAGAGAAAAGAAAAGAAAAATTGCTCTAAATGCCTTACCTTTGCTGCTATCTTCCTTGCCCCGGGACTTTTTCATGCATCAGCTTATCATATCCTCCCAGAAATCTAGGTAGAGCCAGAAATGCACCTCTCAAGCCCCAGGAAACTCATCCTCTAGGGGCTAGTGAGGGGTGAGATGGGGGCTTTTTCTGTGCTGTTGGCTCAGCATTGGAGGTCATAGGAGAGAACTGGGCCTTGGAGACTGCAGAAGAGCCAGGACCACTAGTGAGGATTTCCTGGCACAAAGCCAGGAGCTGCACTCGGGAGCAGATTTTCAAAAGATCTTGATCCGGCCAACTCGGCTGCTGTCTAAAGTCCAGGTTGCAGGCTTTTGCTCCTGGTCTCTGAGATCAGCGCAGCCATAGGCTCATTTGGCTCTTGGGGGTTCTCCATGTGTCATGAATTCCACCCGTAAGAAAGCCATGGCACCAAATCTGCCAGCAACAGCCCCAAGAGAGGGAATAGACATTGAGGTCTACTGTGTCCATGGAGACCAAGGTCAGCCTAGGCCCTGCCAAAACGAGCTGTGAGATCTTAGACCAATCATTTCATCTCTGCGATTCTTATTTTCTTCTGTAAAAGAAACTAAGAAGACCAATCTCGTCTGGGTTAGAAGGAGGAACAGATGAGAAATGGTTAAGAATGTAGCTAGGCAGCTGCCAAGCCTTGCACAAATGCGTGCTGTTGCTGTTCCTGTCTCTCAGTTAACTCTGTTCCAACTCTCTAGGCTCTTATAATGCGTACGGTGAGGTCTCAGATCCATAGCAACAGCATTGCCTGGGAGCTTGTTAGAAATCAGAATCTGCATGTAACCAACATCCCTAGGTGAGAGGGATTAAAGTCTGAGAAGCGGGGTTTGGCCACCACCTGGTGGCAGTGTACTTTAACTGCAAATTTTTCTTTGAAGTTGAAAGCTCAAACCTGGAAGCAAATGTTGAATGAATCAAAGAATGAATGAGTGAGAGGAGGGCTGGCTAGGGGTCCTCAAGTTTGCAGAGATGTGATCTTACCATTTCGCCAGAAAGTCTTCGGCTGTGTTGCTTGAGAATAGAACTTAGAGATGCCTTAGGCCAGGGCAGAATAAAATACTGCGGCTCCCCCTAAACTGTGGAGGCTCTGTATGGGATGCCTACCAAAGACAACTGAAATCTTCTGTGCAGACCCTGCCTTAGAATAGTCTCCCCTCTACAAGATGCAGCTGCGTTAGGTTAGTCAGGACTTCTCTAGTTGCAAGAACAAAAGCCAACTCCAACTAGCAGGCAGAATAAAAGAGTTTAACAGCCAGACACAGAGGCACTTACAGAAGCACAGGCAAGAATTGTCCACCCAGAGGAAAATGGTCATGGCTAACAGTCTCTGTGTTTACTGCTATAATCTACATAATCAGAGAGAGACCACCTCAGCCCCAGTCTCAAATTCCTTGGAAAGGACTCTGATTGGCCCAGTGCTAGGCAGGTGCTCAACTCTGGACCAATCACACTTGACCAGGGGAGCCATCTCACTGTGGGAAAATGGCAGCTCTCTTGCAGCCTCAAGGGTAGAATGGAAGGGCAGATCCCAGGAGGGCCCTCGTTGGCTGAAGGAGTCTGGCTGTGAGCAAGGCCCCCGAGGGGCCTGCCATTCCATCTGCCCTAGTGAAGGGGTTCCCTGAGGCCTCTTGCTGACCCTGTTCCCTCTCTACCCACCAGGTGGAAGGCTTACAACCCAGGCTGGCCTCACTGCTTAGATGAAAAGAGTGTGAAAGACTTGGACCTCAACATCAAATACTCCACAGCCAAGAATGCCAACTTTTATCTACAGGGTGGCTCTGCGTGAGGATACCCACCTTGCCCTGCCCCTGGGCGTCAGATGCCCGATGACCCTGCCTTCTGCCCTCCCCTAGTCAGTTCCCCCACCCACTGTGATATGAGTCACATATTCCTACCCAGGAAACAGCCTCCTACCCACTACCAATCCCACAGGGCAACAGCTCCCTTAGGGGTGGTGACTACTTCGGGCCCGGAGGCTGGTTCAAGATCCCAAGAGGCATAAGGCTGGCTGACAGGGAAGGGTCTCCCAGGGCCTCCTGCCCACTCTCCACCCCTCACATCCTCTGGCAGGTTTGTAGAGATGAAGATCAAGGGGCTGCTGGACCACAAGGGACCCTGGAGGAGTCTGAATGAGATGAAAAGGATCTTCCACTTCCGGAAGACCTCAGCAGCCGGTGAGGAGCTTGGGTAGGGGATCCTGACCTCTTTCCTGTGGCATCAACTCCTGTGGCTCTCTGGAGTCTCAGAAAACCAAGCAGCAATTTCCTATGTAACCCTGAGCAGGCCCTTGCTAGACCTTACTTTTCCCCACAGAGACAAAAGAGAATGTGGATGGAGGAGATCCCTGACCTTCTAATGCCTTCTAATCCAACAGTCATTTGTTGACACCGGGTTAGGCGCTACCCAGTTCTTCCTGGGGCTCACAGTCAAGTAGGACAGTTGGTATTAATTAGACTCAAAATCAAATAATTCGTTTCACTGTGAAATATGCTCATTGGATCCAGTGACTGTGTAAAGAGGGCACCTGCCCTACCCTGGAGAGGGCCCCAGGTAAGCTCTCCCACGAGGGTGAACTATGCTGAGACCTGGAAACTGAGTAGGCCTTCACAGTGCCAAGGATGGGCTGTGGGGCAGAAAATAGTTTGGGGAACAGAGAGTGCAAAGGCGCTGAAGACCAAAGGATCAGCTACCTTTGGAGGGAAGAAAACACCACTGTGGTCAAAGCATAATGAGCAAGAGAAAAGGTGTGAGAAGGAGCGGGAAGGGACCCGGGGCTCACACAGGACAGTGTCAGACACGGCAGGACTTGGGTCTTGATTGATTGGTTGATAGCAGGGGAATAGTACGGTCACTATACACTGCTGGGGGTGAGTTATTAGGAGACAAGAGGCTATGAGAATCTGCTCTGAGGCTCTGGCTATAGTCGCCAGAGGATGGTGGCCTCAGCAAGGCAGTGGCAATGCAGTAGAGTGGATGCGTGGACTGAGAGGGAGTCAGGATGGAGAATCAGTGGGATTTGACATGTGGGGGTGCTGCCAAGAGAGGTCCCCAGGCTCCGGCTGGGCATGGTGGTTCACACCTGTGATCCCAGCACTTTGGAAGGCTAAGGTAAGTGGATTACTTGAAGTCAGGAGTTTGAGACCAGGCTGGCCAACATGGCAAAACTCCATCTCTACGAAAAATACAAAACTTAGCCAGATGTGGTGGCACACACCTGTAGTCCCAGCTACTCAGGAGGCTGAGGCATGAGAATTGCTTAAGCCTGGGAGACGGAGGTTGCAGTGAACTGAGTTAGCCCCACTGCACTCCAGCCTGGGCAAGGGAGTGAGACCCTGTCAGGAAGGAAGGAAGGAAGGGATGGAGGGAGGGAGGGAGGGAGGAAGGAAAGCAGGAAGGAAGGGAGGGATGGCGGGAAGAAAGGAAGAAAGAGAAGGAGAGCCGGAGGAAGCCGAGGCAGGCGGATCACTTGAGCCCAGGAGTTTGACACCAGCCTGAGCAGCATGACAAAACCCCATCTCTACCAAAAATACAAAAATTAGCCAGACATGCTGGTTTGTGCCTATAATCCCAGCTACTCAGGAGGCTGAGGCAGGAGGATCACTTGAACCCAGGAGGCAGAGTTTGCAGTGAGCCAAGTTCACACCACTGGACTCCAGCCTGGGCTACAGAATGAGACTCTGTCTCAAAAAAAAAGAAAGAAAGAAAGAGGGAAAAATAGAAGAAAAAGAGCGGTCCCCAGCCTCCTCTGTAGGCAGCTGGGTGGATGGAGCTGCCTCTTCCCAAATATCAGGCAATGGGACCGACCTGAGCTGTAGGAAGTCTTTATTTGGTCTCAAACATGTTGCATTGGAGACTAGTGAGTTACTCAGGGCGGCTGTCCAGCAGACACTGGGATGGATAGTCTGGGGACTATCGTTTACTGTTGGATAAAGAGGCAGTGGCTGAAGACGGGACGGGGCAGTAACCCTGAGAACCCACTGTGACGGTTAGGTGGAGACCTGTGGGAGCTGGGGTGACCCAGTCCCTGTGTCCCCACTCCCGCAGAGTACACTTTTCAGCACTGGCAGGAGGATGCTTTCTTCGCCTCCCAGTTCCTGAATGGTCTCAACCCCGTCCTGATCCACTGCTGTCACTGCCTCCCAAAAAACTTCCCCGTCACTGATGCCATGGTGGCTTCAGTGTTGGGCCCAGGGACCAGCCTGCAGGCTGAGCTGGAGGTGAGGGGTGCAGGGATCCAGGCTCTGCACAGCCCATCTCAGTGCCTTCACACCCATCCCCTGCTGGAGAGGGAGGGGACCTACTGTGTGCTGTGTGCCTAGCACACTCTCTCCTGAAACACACTCCTCTCCCAGCCCTGAATCCTCTCCCTCTACCACCCCCACCCCCTTCCTTTAGAAAACCAGGTAGTAGCCCCAGTTCTTCTTTCTTCTGCAGAAGGGCTCCCTGTTCTTGGTGGATCACGGCATCCTCTCCAACATCCATACCAATGTCATTAATGGGCAGCCTCAGTTCTCTGCGGCCCCAATGACCCTGCTATACCAGCGCCCATGTGGTGGGTCCCTACTGCCTCTCGCCATCCAGGTCTGCAGCCAGGCAGGGGCAGGGCAGGGGCGGGGAGGGTCAGACTGAATGGTTGGCAGATGCTCACGGCTGCCTCTCTCCCCACCTGCCTCCCCCAAGCTCAGCCAGACCCCCGGCCCCAACAGCCCCATCTTCCTGCCCAGTGATGACGAGTGGGACTGGTTGCTGGCCAAGACCTGGGTGCGAAATGCCGAGTTCTCCTTCCACGAGGCCCTCACACACCTGCTGCACTCGCACCTGCTGTCCGAGGTCTTCACCCTGGCCACCCTGCGCCAGCTGCCCCACTGCCACCGTCTCTTCAAGGTCAGCAGCTTGACAAGGTGGCCCAGACTGTGCCCAGGCCCTCTGTGCCTCTTCTAAGCAGCCTTTCCTCACACGGCCCTATCCACGTAAGCGGGGATGCAGAGCCCTGTCCGCTTCAGCAGCATCTCCCGGCACAACTTCCGCGGGAGCCTGCTCTCCAGCAGACCCTGAGTAAGATGAATGTGGTACCCCAAGAGGCCTCCTTCCTTTTTTTTGAGACAGAGTCTCACTCTGTTGCCCAGGCTGGAGTGCAACTTCTGCCTCCCGGGTTCAAGCGATTCTCATGCTTCAGCCTCCCGAGTAGCTGGGATTACAGACGTGCACCACCATGCCCGGCTAATTTTTGTATTTTTAGTAGAGACGGGGTTTCACCATGTTGGCCAGGCTGATCTCTAACTCCTGACCTCGTGATCCACCTGCCTCCGCCTCCCAAAGTGCTGGGATTACAGACATGAGCCACTTCGCCCAGCTGAGACTCCCTTCTTAAGGGAGATCAGACAGCATCAGCAGCTATCATAGAAGCCCAGATCTTAGGAAGGAAAGAACCCAGGGCTGGCAGGTGCCGAAGTGTGAATATGGCTGTGAGAGACCGAAAGGCTTTCTACAGATAGTCCTGGGATAGGGGAGGGCTGGTGGGGGGGGGTAGGCCCCTGTGCTCTCGGGTGGGTTCTGTTGGTTTTCTAGACCCTGCTAGCTTTCAGACAGCTCAGATTCCAGGCACCTTCTCTGTGAAGGGCAGGACTTCCCCCGGTAGGGTCCACCCGTAGCCACTCAGATTCTCTGATCCTTCTAGACGTCTCCTGGGTTCCGGTTGTGAACGCTGCTCTGTGCTCTTCCGTCCTGGCTTGTTCTTTCTGACTAACTGCAGCTCCCGGGGCCTGGCGCTCAGAGGTGGGCTCTGGTGGACAGCTCCACATTGCCAGGCCCACAGGCCCTGCTTTTCCTAGAGCTTTGCCTGCCCAGAGGTTAGGAAATCACAGGATGCCAGAGCCAGAAGGCACAGGGCTCAGCCACATCAGCACTCGCATTTGACAAAATAACCTGAGGCTCAGGGAGAGGAAGGAGCGCGCCTGAGCTCCCAGCACAAGCTGCTGGTGGCACCCAGCAGGAACTCCAGGGCTCAGACCCCTGTCCCAGGCTGCCTCCTCTTGTAGGCATTGACTCTTTCCTAGTGACTTGAAGGGCTGGAAGTTCTGGGGCCAGAAAGAGCCAGGCCTCCCCCAGCTCTGCCGTTCTTGCCACACAGCTGCTGGTCCCACATACCCGGTACACACTGCACATCAACACGCTTGCTCAGGAGCTGCTCATCGTGCCGGGGCAGGTGGTGGACAGGGTGAGAGCTGTGTTGGGGAGGGAGTGGACAGGCTGCTCTTTCAATGTGAGGAATCTGGGATCCTGGGGTGGGAGTGACCCATCTCCCCCACACCCGTGCTACCTCCTGCTTCTGGAGCATGGTCTGTAGGACCCAAGAGTCCTGTCTGTCAGTCCACAGGCCTCGGCATTGGAGGCTTCTCTGAGTTGATACAGAGGAGCGTGAAGCAGCTAAACTATTCCGCCCTGTGTCTGCTGAGGATATCCGGGCCCGAGGAGTTGAAGACATCCCAGGCTACTACTACCGTGATGATGGCATGCAGATCTGGGGTGCAGTGGAACGGTGAGGGGCTGTGCCTGGAGAGCTGAGGGCTCGGGGATGCGGGAAGACTGGAAAGGACACTGAGGCCCAGGGAGGCTCATGTTGAAGAGGAGGGCCAGACATTAATGACACGAAGCAGGGGCATTCCTCAGAGTGGGTCGGGATTAGAGGCCGGGCCTGAACCTGGGTGCATTGCAGCTTTGTCTCTGAAATAATCGGTATCTACTACCCAAGCCATGAGTCTGTCCAAGATGACAGAGAGCTCCAGGCCTGGGTCGGAGAGATTTTCTCCAAGGGCTTCCTCAACCGAGAGAACTCAGGTATGGGGACCTCCGCCCTCAGGCCTCACCCTCAAGCCTCCGTGGCAGGGTCTTCAGGCCCCTGGAACCTCCATCCCAGCCCAGCTCTCCTCGCAGGTATACCCTCCTCCCTGGAGACCCGGGAAGCCCTGGTGCGGTATGTCACGATGGTGATATTCACCTGCTCAGCCAGGCACTCGGCTGTCAGTGCGGGGCAGGTGAGGAAAAGCCAGTGCCTGGGGTGTGAACTAGAGGTGACCCAGCTCCTTGGCCTCATTCTGTCCTCTCGGCTTTCAGTTTGACTCCTGTGCTTGGATGCCCAACCTGCCACCCAGCATGCAGCTGCCACCACCCACCTCCAAAAGCCAGGCAACACCTGAGAGCTTCGTCGACACCCTCCCACCTGTCAATGCCACATGTGATGTCATCCTTACTCTCTGGTTGCTGAGCAAGGAGCCTGGAGACCGAGTGAGTGTGGGGTTGAGGGGCAGGCCGGGCCGAACTGGGGTAAGGGAGGGTGTGGTGTTTACCCTCCTGGCCCAGACCCAACTCTGCCATCAGGTAGTGGTTCCCTTTACCCCACTGCCCCTCCAGTGGGACACATGAGCCTTGGACATCCCACAGTGAAGGTCCAACAGCCAAATGTGATGATCCAGAGCCACTCTCAGTGGCAAGGGCAATGTGTCATTGTGCTCCTTGCAAATTCCAAATTGAGCTTTCATTCCCCGAAAGCTTCCTGAAGATCAGCTTTACGTGGGTATCTGTTTAAGAGGAGGGACATGGATCAGGCCCCATCAAGGACTGCTTCAGGTCCCAGGGTGGGGTACTAGGGCCACAGCTGGCTAAGGCAAGTTGCAGCTGCTCAGAGGGTGGGGACAGGGAGTCTGGGAGGCAAGACCTCAGCAGCCCCCTCACCCAAGCTTGTGGTCGGTCCCCAGAGGCTCCTGGGCACCTACCCAGATGAGCACTTCATTGAGGAGGCCCCATGGTGGAGTATCACCACCTTCCAGAACCGCCTGGCCCAGATCTCAAGGAAGATCCAGGAGCGGAACCGGGGCCTGGCACTGCCCTACACCTACCTGGACCCTCCTGTCATCGAGAACAGCGTCTCCATCTAAACCCGGGAACACAGCCCAGATGACATCCTTTGACCACATCACTCTAGAATAACTGTCACGCAGAGTAAAGGACTTCTCGGAAAAACAGGCCCCCATGTGCCTCTCCTGGGACAACCAGACTCTGTGTAACTCATTCCCACCATCACACACGCGTGCATGCACACACACACACACAAAACCAGAAACAAAATCAAAACAGGGAAACCCAAAAACCCACCAAGAATAGTCTCGGGACAATACCACTGAGCCTTTTGGAGGCTCCAAGCCTTGAAGTACCTGCACAGCCCCCTTTGAGGCTTTTGCTAGTTGGTTTTGTTTTGTGTTACACAGCCATGGGGGGCATATACCTGCCCACAGACCCACTAGCCTCCACTGATTGGACCTTATGGTCACCTGACTCAAGAACAGTCACCAAGACGTGGCTGCCAAAGACGCTGGACACCATGGCTCATGCCTGAGCACTTTGGAAGATGGAGCCAGGAGAATCACTTGAGGCCAGAAGTTCAAGGCCAGCCTGGGCAAGATGTGAGACTCCACCTCTACCAAAAAATTAAAATTTAAAAACTAATTGGGCCTGGTGATGTGTGGCTGTAGTCCTAACTACTTGAGAGGCTGAGGCGGGAGGACTGGTCGAGCCCAGGAGTTTGAGGCTGCAGTGAGCTATGATTGTGCCACAGCACTCCAGCCCTGGTAACAGAGAAAGACCTGTCTCTATTTTAAAAATAAAATTAATTAATTAATTGATTAAACAAGGCTGGGCACAGTGGCTCATGCCTATAATCCCAGCACTTTCAGAGGCCAAGGCAGGCAGATCACTTGAGGTCAGGAGTTCGAGACCAGCCTGGCCAATGTGGTAAAACCCTGTCTCTATCCAAAATACAAAAACTAGCTAGGCATGGTGACACACATCTATAATCTCAGCTACTCGGGAGGCTGAGACAGGAGAATCGCTTGAACCTGGGAGGCAGAGGTTGCAGTGAGCCCAGACCATGCCACCGCACTCCAGCCTAGGTGACAAAGCGAGGTTTTGTCTCAAAAAAAAACAAAAACAAAAAATGCCCAAGAGGTTGATTGTGACCTGGTGTCTCAGCTTTAAAATGAACAAAATACTGAAAAGGGGTCACTGGGAGCCAGGCAGAACAGGCAGAATGAGGATGTACTGCCCAGGTCGGTGCAGGCAATGCCTATGTATCCAGTCTTAAAAATATCCCCTTGGGAGGCCGAGGTGGGTGGATCACGAGGTCAAGAGATTGAGACCATCCTGGTCAATATGGTGAAACCCCGTCTCTACTAAAAATACAAAAAATTAGCTGGGCATGGTGGCGCGTGCCTGTAGTCCCAGCTACTCGGGAGGCTGAGGCAGGAGAATTG